GCAAAGTATCCCAGATTTCCTTAGCAGTGGTACAACTTTGAATTCTACTGTACTCATCTGGACCAAGTCCACACACAAGCCATTTCTTGGCCTTAGCATTTTTCTCCCATTTTCTTAAATCCTCAGTAGTGCAGTCAGCTCTAGTTTTTGGCACATCCACTCCTTCAGCATTCTTCTTTGTAGTTGCTAGAGGACCATCAGTGACTATGTCCCAGAGTTCATAGTCTTCTCCTATGATGTGATCCCTCATCCTGTTCTTCCACCAAGAGTAGTAGTGGCCATTAAAGAGTGGAGGCCTATCAGTGGATTGCCCTTCCTAGTTCCCAGGTGGTGCACTCATGTTGATCTTTTCCTAAGGTGTTAGCCTCTTCAAGGATAACCTGCTCTGATACCAATTGATGTTCTAAACGTCAATACCACACAAGACGGGGGGGTGATTTGTGTGGTACTCAATTTTTCGCTTAAACTGCTTCTGGAAGGACCTGGTTCTTCTAGGTGTACTTATTACTACTGTTTGCGGAATTAAAAGTACATAAAATAAAGAACACAGAGATTTTTACGTGGAAAACACCTGGCTCAAAAGGTGAAAAAACCACGACCTACTACTCAGTAGGATTTTCCCAAACTTCCACTAAAATCACTGAGCCAAAACTGCATTAACAAAACTCTTTGTAAACCTAAGGATTAACTCTAATCCCGTTGTGGCAACCAGCCTCTAACTGCTGCGACAACTTCAAGTTAACTCTAACTTGAATACTCAAATTACCTATTACAATTGCTTCTAGATAAAGCTGAAAGGTACAATATAAAACACCTACTACAATTGAACTAGAAATAAAGAAAGACACATAAAACTCTTTATGGAGCTGATTCTTCAATCTGGTTCTTGTAGTTTCAGGTTTGCACACTTGAATCACACACGAATTGCTTGCAAAAAGCCTTGCTATTTTGCTCCCAATTCACGTTTAACTTCTGCGTTTTTGTGCAACACTTTAATGTGAGAACATCCTGCAATTTATAGAGTTAGTATATGAAGAAATAACTAGAGTTCTGATGCAACTCTTCCTTGGTGGAAGAGTTCTAGTTGATTTCAGCTTCTAACTCCTTCCCTATCTTGAATTGTGTTCTCTTTGATTAAGGAGTCCTTCTCCTTATCAATTATGCAACCTTTTCGATCAGGAGATATTAAATACACCAATTTAAGCTTATCTCCTTCACGTGCATCCCACATGCTTGAATCTACCCGTTTTTGTGAACCTGAGGGATGGACCACTGGATGGACCTAGTTCATGTCTGAGTTCCTTTGTCAGTCTTCAAAACTAACCTTTACTTGGGCCAAAACGCTTCCGCTTCTGCGGGCCTCTCCTTCCGCACCTGCGGTCCTTGCCGCTTCTGCGGCTACTGACATCGCACCTGCGCCATCATTGCTGCGCACATTTTTCCGCTTCTGCGGTTCCCAGTGACCTTGGCTCATCCCACACCTGCTTCCCTCTTCATGCAGGTGCGGTTACACTAGATGCCCAGCTGCTTCAGTTCTTCCTCAACTTCAAATTTCAATCTGTTAACCATCTGGAATCAACCCGAGGCCCCCAGGACCCCGTCCAGTCACACCAACCAGTTCCAAAACATAATGCGGACCTACTCGAGGCCTCAAATCACATCAAACAACGCTAAAACCATGAATCGCACTCCAATTCAAGCTTTATGAACTTTAGAATTCCAAACTTCTACATCCGAGGCCAAAAACCTATCAAATCATGTCCGATTGACCTTAAATTTTGCACACAAGTCATACTCGGTATTACGGACCTACTCCAACTTCCGAAATCGGAATCCGACCCCGATATCAAAAAGTACTTCCGGTCAAATTTCTCAAAAACCTTCATATTTCTAATTTTCGCCAAATGACCCCAAAATGACCTACGGACCTCCGAATCTACTTCCGGACGCGCTCCCAATACCAGAATCACCATACGGAGCTATTCCATGCTCGAAATCCCAAACGGACATCGATAACATTGAAATGACCTACAACCCAAATTTATGAAATTCTTCCCAAAATGCTAACTTCCACAATAGGCGCCGAAATGCTCCCGGTTTATCCAAAACCCAATCCGGACATACGTCCAAGTCCGAAATCATCAGACGAACCTGTTGGAACCTTCAAATCCTGATTCGGGGGTCGTTTACTCAAAATCAACCCTTAGTCAGATTCTTCCAACTTTAAGCTTCCGAAATGAGAATTCTCTTTTCAATTCAACTCCGAACTCCTCGAATTTCAATTCCGACTATGCGTACAAGTCATAATACCTGAAGTGAAGCTGCTCATGGCCTCAAACTGCTGAACGGCGCACTAGAGCTCAAAACGGCCGGTCGGGTCTTTACAAAATTGACCTCCAAAATATTTAAGTCAAAGAATATGTCACTATTACTTGAATGTGAGTTGCAAAATTAAAAAATTAAAATTATAGCTTGATAAGATCAACAAATACACTTTGTTGGTTGTCAACCCTTTATTTGAAGTAAAAGTTGATTAAGCTAATCATTCAGTACTTACATTGAGTCTTTCTCAATCATTTGAACAGAGCAATCATTTATTTATTATTATTATTATTATTATTATTATTATTATTATTATTATTATTATTAATAAGTAACAGCTAGATAATAGCTAATGAAACTTTTAAATGTAACATTTTAAAATTCGAATTAGGCTAATGTTTTTCTTGGGTATCAGTGCATTTGTAATGGAACTCTCTATTAACAATATTTATATCCGATAATCCCAACTGTATTGCTTTTAGCTGTTAGGTCTGTCATAAAGGGCAAAAAGTAACAAGAATTGGAATCTCTTGAATTAATTTACCAACAACAAAAAAAGGAATCTCTTGAATTGTTTTCTTAAAAATTTCATGTTGAAAATAGTAAAAAGATCCTAAAGTTGGATAGTCTCTGAAGAGATTGTTCAATAATCAAGAAATTACATGTAACTTCAAACCGTAGTGAGAAAATCGTTAAATTATTGGAATTTTAATTATTGATGATTTTTTATTGAATTAACTTCAATCATTGCTTTTAAAAGTTTTCTTTTCTGATCAAGTATTGGATCTGGCTATGAACTTTTATTTTGTAATTTGTTCAGAAAGAATACCTTTATCTAATTTTAAATTATTTAAAGTTTGAGATTTTAATTTTATCCATAATGACATGACTTGTTTTAATTCACCCAATGTAAAAATTCACTCTTTTATTAGGAAATAAAAAAGGAAAAAATATATTGAGCTCTGACCATCACTCATTTAATTATTGCTAGCAAGGATAATTTTGGTACCATATATATATATATATATATATATATATATATATATATATATATATATATATAACACACACACACACACATATCTATATCTATATCTATACTATATTAAAAGCATGAAGGCCCTTAGCGAAAAATCGTTCGTTTTTACCCTTTAAAAATAGATTTCACACTAGACATAATAGTAATTTGACTATTCTATATTATTTAGGAATTATCATTTAATTATTTTCCTAATATTTAGTACTTAGAAATCAACTAAACATTATGTATTGAATCCTTCCTTACTTAAAATAAGTAAGACGAAGGATAACAAAGTAGAGATGTAGAGAGAGAAAGTAGAGAGAGAATGTCTGGCGATTGTGAAGCAAGGCAGCTTACAGACGCCATTAACGACCTACTTCTACTCCTTTGCTACAAATCTTACGGAATTTCTACAAAATCCTACTGAATTCACTAAGATGACAAGAGTAATTACGCCGGAAAGTGGAATACCACAAAAACTAGCACCGATGCAACTGTTATATTGGCTCTCTGGCATGGGAAGTGCTCCGACGGTAATGCAAGCTCCACCACAAGTAGATAAGACGACCATGCAACCGGAGGAAGCAACGATGTTTACAGCAGCAAGGAAATTGACATACTCAATTGGATCTCAAAAGCAGACTATTGCGGAAGCAGTAAAAGGGAACAGAACACAAACACAGGGCATGCAATTAAAATTCTACCCACCGATGGTGAAGGATGGCGTGAAAACAGCAAAATTAAACACCAAGGAGATAGAATTGCAAGTTCAAAAATGGAAGACAGCTTTAATAGGGTATGTATTGGGTGGAAATCCATCATTTAAAGATATGTTAAAGTTTGTATATGGTGTATGGAATTTTGTTACAACTCCAACAGTTTTGATGCACGATGATGGCTATTTCATTTTTAAATTCGAATCTATGGAGGACAAAGAGATGGTAATGCAGCAGGGACCATATACAGCTAACAATAGGCCTATGATTCTAAAGGAATAGGATCCAAATTTCCAGATCAAAGAAGAATCCATGAGAATTGTGCCACTGTGGGTCAATTTTCCAGGTCTGCCTATTCAATGTTGGACTGAGGAAAACCTAGGAAGGATTGCTAGCCTTCTAGGTAAGCCAATTTGTACTGATAGATTAATTGCGGAATGTGAGAGGATCTCATATTCTAGAGTACTAGTTGACATGGATATCACACAGCCTTTACCAGAGGAAGTCCACATTGAAATCCCTGGTCAAAAAAGCTGGATTCAAATGGTGGAATATGAGTGGAAGCCAAAATTCTGCCTAGAGTGCAACAACTTTGGGCATGATAAAGGAAAATGTCAACAGGTGGAGGAACAGAAAGAAGAAGCCAAACAGAAAAGAAGAAGAAAGAAGAGGAAAATGATATGGAAGCCAAAGGAAGCAAAGGAACAGCAAACAGATACACCTGAACAGGAAGAGAAACGGGAACAAGATAAAGGCAAGCAGAAGATGAACACACAAAATTTGAAGCATAAGGAGATCAATTATGAGGAGCTAGCAAGTAGGAATAGGTTTGCACTATTGATGATAAAAGAGAAGCCACCTGAAAAGACTATGCAGGAAGAAACTAGAAATGATGAAGCAGGACAAAGGAGCCTAAACAGCACTCCTAATGCTCAGCCACCATGATCATCATATCTTGGAATGTGAGAGGACTGAATAAGTCCCACAAGCAGCGAGAAGTGAGAAAATTCTTGCTGAAAAACAAAGTGGATATGATAGCTTGCCTTGAAACTAGAGTCAGAAAGCAGAATGCAAAGGATATCCAAAGGAAAACAGGGAATGAATGGAAAATTGAAGACAATTATGAATATGCACCAAATGGTAGAATATGGTTAATGTGGAAGGAAGTCGATGTCAATGTCACAGTACTGGAGAAGACAGAGCAGTTGATTCATTGTTATGTACAAGATAAGAACTCTGCATTCACTTGCTACATAACATATGTTTATGGATTGCATACTGTTCAGCATAGAAAATCACTATGGGGAAACCTAAAAAATGTACAATTGAATGATCCTTGGCTTATAATAGGAGATTTCAATAGTGTACTCAATGTTGATGATAGAATAAGTGGTAATACTGTACAGCAAGTTGAAGTAGTAGACTTCCAAAATTGTATTGAAGATATAGGAGTGGGGCAAATTACCAAAAGAGGAGGTAACTTCACATGGTGTAACAAAAGAGATGCTGAAATCAGGATATACAGTCATATAGATTGGGCCTTTGGGAATGCTGAATGGTTCAACCTATACACTGGTATTGAGGCTCACTACATGCTTCCAGGATGTTCAGACCATACACCAATAATGATCAGTACTGAGGTGCAGAAAATGAAAGTTAACAGACCTTATAGACTGTTAACTACAGTAATGAAGCAAGTAGAATACAAGGAGATTGTGCAAAGAATATGGAAACAAAGAAGTGGAGGAGATGCTATGAACACTGTATGGAGATAATTGAAGCAGATTGAGAAAGAGGCTAGAAGTATACAAATGAGCATTCATCAATGGACAAAAAGCAAAACAAGATGAGAGAAGACCTGAATTAGATCCAAGGAAAATTGAATGAAGATTATTTTAATGCAGGACTGATAGATGATGAAAGAAAATGCTTAGCAGATATTGAGAAGTGGGAAGCAGTCCAAGAACAAATACTAAGGCAGAAATCAAGAGCTACATGGATCCAAGTAGGAGACCAAAATACAAAGTACTTTCATGCTTGTATGCGAGCTAGACAAGCAAGAAACAAAGTTAGCTGCATTTACAATGATGCTCAGGTGAAGATCACAGAACCAAAGCTAATTCAACAGGAGTTCATCCAGTTCTTCAAGCAGTTGATGGGGAAAGCAGCAGACCAAATGCCAGGGATTGATCTAAATATAGCAAGAGATGGGCCATGCTTAACAGTGATTCAACAACAGCAACTGTTGCTCCAATTACTAGTGAGGAAATAAGCCAAATAGTGAGGAACCTTCCTAATGACAAGGCACCATGCATTGATGGATATCCTGCAGAATTTTTCAAGGAGTACTGGTCAATCATAGGGCAAGAAGTTACAGATGCTGTGCAGAATTTCTTTCAGAAAGGAAAGCTAATGAAGGAGGTTAATTGCACTACTGTCACATTGATTCCAAAGGTCAAAAATCCAGTCTTGTTAAGGAATTTAGGCCTATTGCTTGTTGCTCAACAGTATACAAGATCATAGCTAAACTCTTAACAAATAAACTGAAAATGGTGGTGGATTACCTGGTTGGACCTACTCAGTCTGCTTTTATTGAAGGGAGAAATATACTAGATAATGTGATAATGGCACATGAACTAATCAAAGGATATTCTCAGAAGAATGTGTCACCTAGGTGTATGATAAAGGTGGACATTAGAAAAGCCTACGATTCTGTGGAATGGGGATTCTTGAGAGCAGTATTATTGGAATTTGGTGTTCCATTTAAGCTAGTGGAATTGATTATGACATGTGTTAGTACAGTAAGCTACTCATTATTGCTGAATGGAAGTCTAACTGAAAAGTTTGAAGCAAGAAAAGGCTTACGACAAGGGGATCCCATGTCACCTTACCTGTTTGTTCTAGACATGGAATATCTCAACAGATCTCTGAAAGCTCTGACAAAGACACCAAACTTCAATTTTCATACTAAATGCAGCAAACTCCAGATTGTCCACATCTGCTTTGTAGATGACCTTCTTATGTGTTGCAGGGCTGATGAAATATCAATGAAGATGCTGATCAGATGTTTCCAACAATTCTCTGAGGTTTCAGGACTGCATGCTAATATGGACAAAAGTTCATTATATATAGCAGGAGTTAAAAGGGAATTCAAAGACAAGATGTTAGCTGAATTGCAATTATCAGAAGGGAGCTTACCATTCAAATACTTGGGAGTTCCATTGGCTGCAAAAAAGATCAGCATACAACAATGTATGCCCCTGGTGGAAAGAATTGTGAACAAAATTAGAAGTTGGACCTCCAAGTTCCTTTCATATGCAGACAGATTACAGCTTATCAAGAGTGTTTTGTTTGAAATGCAGACTTATTGGGCTCAAGTATTCCTCATCCCTAAGAAGATTGTTAAAATGGTGGATAGCATATGCAGGAGGTATTTGTGGACTGGAAGCAATGAGAACACTCAGAGAAATCCTATATCTTGGGAGACTTTGTGTAAGCCAAAAGCAGCAGGAGGACTAAACATAATCAATTATGAAACATGGAACAAGGCAGCAATAACAAAGTTGTTATGGGCAATAGTGAACAAGAAGGATAAACTCTGGATAAAGTGGATACATGGTCAATACATAAAGAGGCAAGATATAGCAAGTATGGAAGTTCCTAAACAAGCTAGTTGGCTTGTAAGGAAAATATTCAATGCAAGGGAATGGTGGGCAAATGATATGCAAAGAATGCAGGCCTGTGTGAAGAATGGGAAATTCAGCATCAAAACAGCATATATAAAAAGCTCTCCAGAATGGCCTAAAGTGAGGTGGAAATCTGTAACAATGATCAATGGTAGTCTGCCAAAGCAACAGTTCATAATGTGGATGGCAATGCATAGAAGACTGGCAACAGTGGATAGATTGATGAAATGGGGAATTCAGGTTGAACAGGGATGTGTCCTGTGTGAAAAAGATGTGACTGAGACTCATGAACACTTATTCTTTGAGTGTTCATACTCAAAGAAACTATGGGGAAGTATGTTAACATGGTTGGGGTATCACAGAAGAATTCAAGACTGGGAAGAAGAAGTAAATTGACTAATCAAGAATGTCAGCAATAGAAACCCAAAGAGAGCTTTACTAGGAGTTGTGTTTGCTGCTGTGATGTACAACATATGGATGGAAAGAAATAATAGAAGATTTCAACAATGCAAGAAGGCAGTACAAGACAGAGCAAAAGATATTGCTGTCCAAATTCATGTAACTGGACAAATGAAGCCAAAATGGAAGCCATTACTGGAACGGTTAAACAACTATCCTAGCTGTGTATAGGATAGTATATATGTTTGTAATAAAAATAGCAACAGAAGAGTTGTATAGGTTTTGTTTATAATTTGTTTTTATTTTGAGATTTGCTCAAGAGTCCATAGAGAGCAGATGGTGTAACTTTGAAACAAATGTTGAAATAAAAGTTCTAATTTCGACCAAAAAAATATATATATAAATTGAATTTTTCAAAAACAGAAAATTTAATGTTTGTATTGAGATAGGAAATTACATAATTTGATCTCGTATTCACCAACCTCGTGAATTCTCCTTGAAATTAATAGGTGAAATACATAGGCGGTCTCTTAAAATTGTCATTTAAACACATTGATGGTTGCTAGAAATTAAATGTAGTGTATCCATTAAACAAAAATGTAACAACATGAAGAAGAAAACACAACTTGGACAGAATGCCGCGAATGTTAATCACGTCTGACGGTACAAATTTCGATATTGCAAGGAAAGGAAATTAAATTTCCCATAGGGAAATCAAAAGCTCTGGCAGTTCTGGAGTATAAATGCTTGTGCCAGTCCTGGAGTGGAATTTTTAAGCATTCCTCCCAACCAGAAAAAATGAAGAAGAAAATTAAGCTGCGGTTCAACGACGACGGCCATCAGTGTTGGGCTAAAACGGCCCAATGACACTCTTAACATGGTGTGATATTGTCCGCTTTGGGCCAAGCCTGTACGGTTTTTCCCAAAAGGGCTCACACCATTAAGAGATCCTTACATCTTATATATAGACTTTCAATTTTTTCAGCTACCAATGTGAAACTTTGTTCGCACACCCAACATATCAGTTTCTTCGTTGGAAACCACAGCTGGATATTTCATGAAGCCATTTCCTGAAATTACTCAATTAAGTCAGGTGACTTGCTAAGGATTCCTGATTCCTTGTTTGTTTTCTTTCTTTCCTTGGTCCATTTTGTTTTGTTACATTTGATTTGTTAAACCAGAGGAAAATGATGGCAGTGGAGGAGTGGTGACGAGGATATAATGGTGATGGTGGTTTTTAGAAAACATGATTTGTTTGGAGGGGAAAAAACAAAAAAGAAAAACATGAGTTGAAACCCATTAACGCGCCTTGGAGAGGTGATAAATATAAGGAAAAGGGTTCAAAATGCCTCTAAACTATTGGAAAAGGTTTAAAAATACCCTTCATCCACCTATTAGGCTAAAAATACCCTTCCATCCACCTTTTTGGTTCACTTATGCCATTTGACCGTTAGGTCAATGCTGAATTAAAAATAATTACTTAAAAAAAATATTTAGCAAATTATTTTTGTTTTTTGAAGCTAATGCACTGGTAGTCCACTAATTTAGTAAAGTCTTCTTCTTCTTTTTTCAGTTTTTACAAAAAACAATTCAGTTTTTACAAAAAAGAAAAGTTTTTTTCATTTTTTTAGTTTTTTTAAAGCATTTTTTTTGTAAGAGCTGAAAAAAATTGTAAAAACAGAAAAAAATTGATTTTAACAAAAATATTTTCGTTTTTGAAAAATATTTGTTTTCATTTTGTTTTAGTTTTTTTTTTAAAATTTCACTTTTTAAAAAACAAAAATATTTTGTTAAAAAACAAAAATATTTTTTCAGTTTTTACAAATTTGTTTTTCAGTTTTTACAACAAAAAAAATGCTTTAAAAAAACTAAAAAAAATGAAAAAAAAATAATTTTCAAAAACGAAAAAATTTTGTTGAAAATATTTTTTTCAGTTTTTAAAAAACGAAAATATTTTATTAAAAACAATTTTTTTCTGTTTTTGTACAATCTTTTNGCTAATGCACTGGTAGTCCACTAATTTAGTAAAGTCTTCTTCTTCTTTTTTCAGTTTTTACAAAAAACAATTCAGTTTTTACAAAAAAGAAAAGTTTTTTTCATTTTTTTAGTTTTTTTAAAGCATTTTTTTTGTAAGAGCTGAAAAAATTGTAAAAACAGAANNATATATATATATATATATATATATATTATTATTATTATTATATATATATATATATATATATATATATATATATATATAATAATAATAATAATAA